GCTTTTCATCAGTAACTTCCATTATTTTGTTACAAATATCAAAAGATTGTTCTTCTCAAATCTGAAACCGATTCAATTAGATTCGTTGAAAATATGCCTATATCAAACCAAAAGAAGCAAACCATTTAACTATTTATTAAAAATACATTTATTCCAATCATCGCGATTTAACCTACTCAATATTCTCTATATATATAACCATCTTCTGTCGTCCCTAACTTCATCCTTAACCAAAACTTGAAACATTCTACCAAAAAATCTATAATACAACTATGATGGCTGACTACCAAATGGTGAAGGACTTAACTCCATGGGAAGAGTTCAAACAAACTATCAAAGTTAAGGTTTTCAAACGATGGGAATCAACTGATTAACAAGGCCTCCCTGGAATGGATTTCATCTTGGTTGATGAAGATGTAAGCATCGAACATTATTTTTTTTGGATTATTTTGTCTATTACAACTTTTCTCATAGATCTATATGAATATTAATAATACTCTTATAGGGCTTTCGAGTTGCTGCTTCCGTTTGCAACGCTGGGCTGTCTTACTTTGAACAAGTTTTCAAGAAAGTCAATGGGTTAAACTTCCTCAGTTTCGATTAGTTAACTCTAATTGGAATGCAAGAACCACCAGACATGCGTACCAGATCATACTCACTCAGAGGACAAAGGTTTCAACTATCAGACATTTGACTGAGGATCCTTTCATTAAGTTTGTTGATTTTGCATCTGTGTACAACAAGCCTTATACTCACTACTATCCTATTGGTAAGTATACCTTTTTATTTTAAATTACTAATAAACTCATTAATTTCTTATTGTTGTTTATGGATTCTATATAAGTAGTTTATATTACGTTATGTAGACATGCAGTGATTTTTTTTGGTTTTACATACAGATTTGCTTGGTGTTTTGGATAAGGAGATTAGAGACGTTGTTGATGTTGTTCAATCTGATGGGAATGCTGTTCCAACCCTTAATTTTCGTATTCGAGATCTTGAGTAAGGATATTCACTAAGTTAACAAATTTAAATGATTATTTATATGTAGTTAAGTAATATTTTTTGTTTACTTGAAGGGATTACAAACTTAACTACGTCGCTCATTGTGATTTGGCATATGAAATCAAGGAAAAATGTAACTGCGGGTTAATGAAAGGACCATATGCAATATGTGTACTGACTGACTGGGTTGTTAAGAAAAACTTCAGTAAGTCACCATTTTATCTTTAATGTTTTTTTTAATTCCATGTATTATAATCATTTGTCTTGATTCCTGATATTTATAGACTTTTTTATATAGATGAAATGACCATACATGTTTATGAAGGAGGAAAGATTTCCTGTTTCATAGTTTATCCACCACTTGATGAAGTTTTCATACTCAGGAGCAAGTAATAAAATGTTATACTAAATATTAGTCTTTCTTTCATATAATATATATTATATATATATATATGATATATATTTATTTCTGTAACTTATGATTTTGTCCAGATTTGGGATAAGCTAAGTGCATCGGCCAGCAATGCTTCATCTTCAGAGGCAAGGGATGCGTAGTTTGGGAGCAGTCTGAAGTCAGTTTGTCTTTATGTTTTTAGTTTATTTCGTTAATCAAAAGGAGTGATGTCCTCCTAATTTCTATAATGTTAAGACTTAAGTTATATGTTGGCTTTATTCGAACTTACACTATGTTATGTTACTTTCATCATTATCACTACTCTAAATATATTTCATCTCTATATAATTATTGCATTGTTTGCCTTATTGCATTATAATAATTATCTGGATATCTAAAGTATAAAACGGAGGATATTCCTTCATTAACTTTGTTTTTGTCATTTAAATATATCAGCTAATTTGATATTCTATTGAATGTTTACTACTTCCGATTTAGGGTTAATATATGAAATGAACTCCATTTATATTATTTGTGTCTTATTTTTATTCTAAGGTAATGTTTCCTATATCATATCACGGAAATATTCTTATTTCAAAACATTATTCAAATTTGTCTGTGAATAAATGTTTATTTACAATATGTAATTATGTTTTGATTTTGCTAAACCCCAAACCATACCAAATTAACATTGTTTAGACATGAATATATAGAAATATACCAATTCTATATTTTGGCTATATAAAGAAAACAGCAATTTAGACAAAATTTTTAACATAAATTATTGTGTATCTTCATTTAAAAATATTACAATCTAAACTACCTTTTCTTATCAAATTCGTCTTCATTTACAAATCTTATTATAACTACTATAAATTATCTGTAATTATCAATACTGCCTTACTAGAATTATAAAAGCAATTTGTAAGATTCGGTTAATATATTGTAGATATGTTATATATATTGATTTATTCATATCCTTTTTTAAGGAAACGTCTTTATTCCAGCCCTCGCAACTCCATTAAGTTTAATGTATTTCTATTCCACACAATTTATCTTATTTGATAATTTATTAAATTCTATAATTATTCCCATGATTTGAAAATTTTTTAATATCGACATTGAATTGTAATGCTTATGCCATTTTACATCACATTGTTGATTTTATATGTAAACACATCAATATCTAATATGAATGACCGAGTCATATTTTACTATGTAACAACGATTGAGATGCCAAAAAAATAATGTAAAAAAAGTAACAAAAAATGGTAAAGCAACTACAATACAACATACATCTACACACAATTATTAATCTCACTCTAAAATATTGAATGTAATACAAATCATTATATTATAAATATCTTATGTCCACATACTTTAAAACTAGATATTTAAACTGATTACAACATAATACAGTGCATAGCACGGGTCAAAATCTAGTCTGAGTGAAAACACCTGCATAAGATATTAAAAGTGATTTATAAAAGTGGTCAAAATCAGGTGTTATCAGGACCCTCAGCGCAGACTTGCTCCTCCAAGCATTTACTGCACAGCTGGAGGCCATTACAAAACGAAGCGAGGAGCGCTTCAACCAAATAGCTACTCAAATTGCCGAACTCAGTCAAGTTTGTACTCTGCTACGAGTACTCAACATCATTGACGACCTCAACACGGAAGGTGAGCCCACTGGAACGATGCGATCAGCCGCTCTCGGGTCAGCAAACGCGCTTGTTCCGACAGATCCAACCCGTGATGCCGATATTGAGGCAATGAAGACACAGCTTTGCCAAATCACGTCAAAGATTCATCGAGCAATAAGTGCGGTTCGGAGATCGACCGTGTTATCCAGGAAACGCAAAACACTCCTTTCACCCCGCGCATTGCTGGCACACCTGTTTGGCACTTGGAAAAGCTCAAGATCAAGACTTATGAGGGCGACTCCGACCCGCGCCATTTCCTGACCTCATTCAAAATCTGCATGAACCGATATCAGTTCCGAACTGCTGAGGAAAAAAATGCAGTCCAGGGCCAACTTTTGTCGAGACCCTCGGCAATATCGCTCTCGATTGGTTCTCACGACTTGAAGGGAACTCGGTAAACAGTTACAAGGAGTTAACCACATCGTTCGTTAAACACTTCTCGGTGAACAGTTACAAGAACACACAAGAACCTGCGGAGACGTAGAGATCAAAAGCTAATAGTTATTAAAAGCATTCAGTTCCCTAAGTCCTAGTTCGTCAAAACGACCAACTCGGAAACAAACTCAGTTGTATTTACTCTGATCTGATATCAATAAAATCGAACTTCGATCTAATTACTGTTTTGTCCTTTTTGTGTGATATTACATATCAACATTAGTTCATACTAGAAGAGAACCCGCGTGTATACGCGGGTCTTGTTTTAATATATATTTAAATACTATATTTTTAAAATGTGTATTGAATTTTATGTTTATTATCAATGTTTTGCGTTTAAAATATTTATATTTTCCTTGATTTCTTTTTGATGATACATTATTTGTAATCTCTTCTATACCGGTTGTGCCAAATAGTCTAATTTTTCTTCCAAAATAATAAGGGATTAAAAATATATTATTTTAAATTTTGTATGAAAACGTAATAATTCACTTATAAATATACGTTTAATATCAGAGAGAAATATTTATTTGTTCTTCGATCTTCATATTCTTTTTATCTTTGTAAATCTTACTAATATAATACTTGTTAACTTTTTCAATTTACCATTTTGAATTTTTTAGTTATATATATTTTATTGATTCCATTTTTTTAATTTAAATTCATGTATGACATTTTTAGGTGCACATCTTTCTTTATACTAATTTTTTTTTAATAATTGTTATCTCTTTAATCGTTTATTAAATATTTTTATGTTTTTTTAATTTAGTAGTTGAAGTTTTATATAAGAATATTTGAAACTTCTTATTTTATTCAGTCTTAAATTTTTTTTATTTGCATTAAAATTTAGTATATTTTTAGTTTGAAAATGAAATTTAAATCACTTGAAAGAAGAAAATAGAATAGTGCATCTAAAAAATCTTGTATTATATAAAATTTATAAGTTTTTCTATATTTAAATTAAATTTGAATTGCATTCTAATGTATATATATATATATTAATCTTTATTTGTGTTTTTAATGTGTTTTGCTTTAAATTTAATTAATTATTTATTTTATCAATTTTTGGATGTGCCACATGTCACTTTCTCAATTGCTGATGTGTCACTCAGCTGGAGAGAGTTGATTGTCTTTGCATTAAAATTTAGTATATTTTTAGTTTGAAAATGAAATTTAAATCACTTGAAATAAGAAAATAGAATAGTGCATCTAAAAAATCTTGTATTATATAAAATTTATAAGCTTTTCTATATTTAAATTAAATTTGAATTGCATTCTAATGTATATATATATATATATATTAATCTTTATTTATGTTTTTAATGTGTTTTGCTTTAAATTTAATTAATTATTTATTTTATCAATTTTTGGATGTGCCACATGTCACTTTCTCCATTGCTGATGTGTCACTCAGCTGGAGAGAGTTGATTGTCTTTATATATAAGATGAGAAAACTATGTATTTCAAATCCCAATTTTTTGCTTTGTCCCTGATTCCTTGTAAAGGAGAGAATCTGAATAAGCGATATTCACACGTTTTTGGCCTTTACAATAATGCCTACACTTTTTTCTATCCATAAACATCTTTGTTTCTTTGTTGTTACTATCAGGCTCCTTTGCCTGAACTTCTTGGATAGGCTCCAAGACCTTTACCACTTTAGACATAGTTGGTCTATACTTGGGATTTTGGCTTAGACACTTGAAGGCTAAGACAGCAGCTGTCTGAGCTTGCTCGGTATTGTATTGGCATTCCAGCCTCGGATCAATGATCCGCTCTAGCTTTCTTTGATCCCTCAACATTGGCCGAACCCACTCCACGAGGCTTTGTTCACTCCGTACCCGGGTATTGTCCATTGATCGTTTCCCGGTTAGCAGTTCTAACAAAACGACTCCAAAACTGTACACATCATTCATTGTCGTCAAGTGACCTGTCACATAAGAAACCATTACGACAAAACTCAAAAAATTTTCGGTTATATGGTAAAAAAAAAATTATTAACTCCATAAATAATGTTACCAGTCATAATATATTCGGGTGCAGCATAACCTTGTGTCCCCATTACGCGAGTTGTTACATGTGTATGTTCTCCTTCAGGTCCATCTTTGGCCAGACCAAAATCAGATAATTTGGCGTTATAGTTCTGAAATATTCGGGAAATCAATCAAAATAGCAATTTAATTGATAGTGCTGACAAAAATATAAGAAGGATTAAAAAGACTCTCGGAGTCTAATAATATGTTGGAGGTTTTGAAATCTCTGTAGATAACAGGTTTCTCTGCTTCATGGAGAGATGCTAAACCTTTGGCGGCTCCAAGGGCTATCTTCATCCTTAGTCCCCATGCCAGTCCTACACTATTTCCTGTTCCAATTGAAACATTATTAAACTGTTACTTAAAAACGAAAGTTATATAATGTACTGCATTAAACGATAAAGTAACTTAAATTTTGGTAAAGTTAACGTGAAGCATGTATTCTTTTGCCAAGATTTTTTTTAGCGTGCTTGGTAGATGAGTAAAGCCGAAATTGGAAAAAAAAAAACACACACACGATGGCAAAACGATATTAAGTTGTGCTTATTAGTGTGCGATTAAACGAAAAAATGTTATACAACATAAAACAGCGTGTTATTGGATACCACAGCATGATATTTTTTTTTTAAAAAAAAAAAACATGCGCGACATCCATGAACATTGTGCGATAAATAAACCAGCATGTTTATTGTAAATACTTGTGCGACAAATAAATCAAGAAATATGGATGCCGTCGATTTTGCAAATAATAATAAAGATATATATGGTCCTTTTGTGGGACTAGTCCTACTGTTTTGTTGTCATTCAGTTCTTAAAAAACTGTGAAGTCATCAAAGAGTTGTTTGAATGTTCCTTAAGGTTTAAACGAACTCAAATAAGAAAGTGAATTGAATAACAACTTGATAGATTAGGGAAAAAATTTAGTAGACGACATACTTCTAAAGAGTTGATTCTCCAAGCTACCTCGCGGCATGTACTCATAAACAAGTACTCTTTGCTCTTCTTCACAACAAACCCCTATGAGCTTAACAAGATGTCTGTTACTTAGCTGTCCCAAAAATATTATCTCTGACTGTAAATCAAAGCCGAAAAGGGATCATTTAAAGATATTGCGAGTTTTTTTTGCAACATTATAAATACATATAACAGTTCAGAACTAATATTGTAGTTCTAGAAAATTCTAATGAAAATTAAAATTATTACACTAGAGAAAAAAAGAGATATATTTTACCAGCCATTCTCTATGACCTTGATGACCATGAAGATCAAGTGCCTTAACTGCAACCGGTTGGGCTTTTAAACCCGGTTTAACCTTATCATCAATAAATCCTTTGTAAACCGGCCCAAACCCTCCTTCTCCCAATATGCTAAGTCTTGAGAAATTATGCGTAATCACTCTCAGCTCGGACATCGAAAACAAACGAAGCTTGTCAGATGTGAAGGAGTTTGAGAGATCATCCATGAACGACATGGGCGAGCTTGGATCACTTATGTCCGACAAAGACAGCCTCTTGAACACCGGACAAGTTCTTATTTTCATCGGGTGATCCTTCTCCTCTACTTCGTATCTATTCGCGTTATTTATCCTGTAACATCCTAAGAACAGAGATGTCAATGATGTCTTCTTCATCTTGATTACTGCCACTTTGTTCTACTATTCTTTGGGGAAAGAGGGAGATAGATAGTTAAAAAAAAGGGAGATAGATAGTATTTTACTCTTTTTGATGTATCTTTTGTAGAGTGCGTAGGTTTAGAAATTAAGGATGTTTTAGTTAACCTACTTGTCTTCAAAGTCTTGTACTTATAGTAGTTGTTGTGTCATATTCGTACTGACCGACCTTGAAACATTCGCTTTACATATAATAATAGTGGTTGCTTTATATATTAGTTTTCATATAAATTTATTTTCAATATGTTGGGGATATTTTATTTATTGGTCTAATTAATGTTTACACTGACATATATATTTTTTAGGTGAAAGACGATCCATTGTTCTCATCATTTCCCACAATACGAGTGAGATGTTAATGTGTAATGTGAATTCTTTATTTCAGATTGGATTTTCAACTGGTCTATAATTCACTGCTGTTGAAAAATATAGTTTATGTTTTTTATCACACATTAGTTTTGTAAATTCTAAATTGAACATCTTAAATGATTGGAATATTTTCACGATAATATTGATTTGAGGTTCTTTCTAATGCACTGCTTAGACTCATCTTACAAAAGTCTACGTACTAAAAAAGTATTTGGTTATACAATTTCAATCATTTTAAAGGTCTACATTCTACTAATTCCATATCTTGTTCCAGATCACAAGACTTAGTAATTTATAATACGTTTTGTTGTTCTAATAATTTAAGTGATTAATATTCAAATACTTTGCTATATATTTCCGGTTGGCAATAGATTACGCACAAGGGAGGAAGATATGATTCGCCTTGTTGAGAGGAGAATGAGCTGATTAGAACATTATTGGATGTCCGTTGACTTTGTTTCTTTCGTGTAAACAATTAAAGCGGTAATGAAGCGAGCAAATTCGTCATCTTGATTTGATTACTCTTACTTAACAATCAATGAATAAATTAGGTTAGGTACTGGTCATCAGGTAGATAACATAACTCTCTGGCAGAGGTTTTATATTCCACCGTTAGTTCTTGTCGTTGGAATTCAGTATCAGTCAATTATAAATGTGTGTGTGTGATGCAAATTCGTAACCTTTATTCTAAGCTATTTCTTTTACCTTGAAGAATTTTCTATAATATTATAACTTCTCTAACATAATTCTAAAAAAAACCAATATAAAGAAGTTTTGATGTGAGATCATATCACTAATTCGAGATAATGATTCTTATTGAGCCCGGTTTGAATATTACTTAGGTTGTCATTCTAACTTGGGCAAAGAATTCTAACATGTCCAGTTGATGATTTTTAGACTAGCAAGGGATTTGATACTATTTTAAAGTGTTATTGGTATTCAAGACAAAGTCAACTGACAACGCGTAATTGGTTTATGTTCTTTATACATTTCTTTAGATTGTCCTCTAACGTTTCATTTCAGATCCTAACACATTGTTGGAACTTTAATACCCAAATTTTAAAGGAAAAGTGATCACTTCAAGAAGACACAGCAATTCCTGATAGTTGCATTATTTACTCATTGTTACATTCAATTAGTTAAATTTTTTTTTGGATAACCAGCATGTTCTAGGCTGAAACCCGTACATCCCCCTAGACCCGGGCCAGCCTTTAATATTATTACCCGTCCCAGGTATCACACAATTGTGTGACCTTTTAGATTACCCAAAGGTACCTTTCCAGTCGAGCTATCGACCTCTGGTCGTTTTTTGTTAATTTTTGTGTCTTGTACATAGTTGCATTTCTATAATTTTTGAGGTTTTCATGCATAGTTAGAGGTGAAGAAGTCTTAAGTTAGTCCTAGAGCCTTGTTCCGTATTGGAGTGTTTTAGGTACCTATGGATGCTCTTGAGGCTTGATGCGATTGTAAACAGTGTGTTTGTTTTACTAAGCTTCATGTTTTAAATTTTTATCACCTATAAATGTCTCCAAGTGCACAGATGTTGATAACACCGTATTTTGACCACTTTTATGGATCGTTTTGAAATACTTTTTCTATGTTATTAATTGCTTTCAAGTACTTTTATTACGTTTTTCTAGTATTTGTAGTTTCAAGACTCTTTTCAGAAAACTTAGGGAAAAGCTTAACAAAATGGATAGAAGACTAGATTTTTAGCTCAGAGTCAAACCGTCAGAAGTTCACCCCCGATTGAAGGCCTTCTCACCATCTGATCCAGCTCAAATTTGGAGATCTCAAAGATGGAAGTATCAGCTTTCGAGCACACTTTACTACTTGGCAATCCAACGGTTGAATCAAAAGATACGGAAAGAGCAAGATGTCCTGTAAACCAGCCGGCAAGCGTTTCCACCCGCAGCCAACAGGCTATTTCCCGCGGTCACAACCATCCCGACCGCGGCCAGCCATCCATTCTCCGCGGTCACGCACATCCCGACCGCGGGCAGCTAATTCCGAGTTTGAAGGCCCATTTCTGAAGCCCGTGTCATTTTCACAGCCTCAATTCTGGAACCCTAGACACCAGAGAGTATTGGAGACTATAAATACATATCATTTAGGTCATTTTTTAGGAGAGAAAAAAGAGAGACGAAATACTTTACAGAAATTTTACTTTAAGCTTTGTTTTTAGGTTTTAGGGAGAGAGAGATCTATCTCTTGAACCCTTGTTCTTTCTTTTTCAATTTCGGTTTCTGTTCTACTTTTTAATATTATGTTTTTGATTTCGTTTATCATGTCTGAGTAGTTTTATTGTTGGGTCTAAGGGATGTTCGATGGGGATACATATGTTCGATGAGGATTCTATGAGCTATTCAGCCAAATCTTAGAACTTTTTCTTCTAAATTCGTTTTTACTGCATGAGAGTAGCGTCATGAACTACAATCTGATCCAGATGCTTGGTGACACGAAAGTGTTCATCCGGTGTCTGATCTAGTTTGGGAGAGCAAAACAAACATAGGAGTGGAAACCTACCTATGGGCGATTTGTGAATGCTGACGAGTCTTAAACATAATGCATCTATTCTCTTCCAAGGCTGGAAACCTACTGGTCAGGGTTGAGAGAGATAGTTGTCTATGATCACGACAGTGGCGTATTCATATGTCCGTGACTCCAGTTCAAAAAGTTTAAGCTAAGATCTTATCAAATTTACTCTCTAGCAATGTTTTGAATCGTTCATACCCCTGAGAAAACTTCCATGAATCCCAGTGCCTTCTTTTCTATAGATTCACACCGATTTTTATTCAAGTTTTAGTCTAGTGTTTTCATTCTCCCAATCGATTTTTATTAAAGCAATTAGGTCTAGCCGTTTTTCTCGTTTTTACGCGTTTTCATTAAGTTTAGTTATTAGATCATTTTAATTTTTATATTTTCTCTTTTAAGATTCATTTTTACGTTTTAAACACACCACCCAAAACCCTCACAAAACTCGCCTGGTTCTAGACTTCCTTACTTTATATTTCTTTCGAAGGCTTTTGCAGGAAAGATCCTCCTTCCCTGTGGATTCGATCCCTAAGTACTACAATCGATCAGCTGTGCACTTGCGGCTATTGATTTCATTTAGGGTAAAACTTGACAACCCTCGACACACGACAGCACATCAAGTTTTTGGCGCCATTGCCGGGGAGGGCACGCGTTTTCTTTTCCGCAAAACCCTAAAAAAGGTTGGTAAATCGACTCTAGAACCATTTTTTTAGCATATTTTCATTTCTCGGTTATTTTGTTTCCATTCCCGAAGCAATGGATCCTATAAATCGAAATCCCTACTATGAGGGAGGTTTTTACAACACTCTTCAAGCCACCAGACGCAGAGAAGAACACCAAGCCCGAGATCTTAGCTACATGGATCGATACAGCCAGCCAAATATTCAAGCTTTTCTCTATATTCCCGATTTAATCAAAAGTTTTGACAAGTTAATTGAAGAAGGTCAATGGATTTGTTTTTCTGAATTTGTGGTATTTGATGAAACATCAGACGAACCAAATTCTCCAATTGGTAGTTGTATCAGATTTTTACGTAACACTGAAGTTGATCGCATAGATCCTATCGAAGTTGAGAATCCACATGGTTTTCTTAAAATTTCTGATGTTCTTGGTGGTAAAACAGAGCTTGGCCTTCCCATCGGTATAACTATGTCTTTTTCTAAATATTTTAAATAATTATATTGTTCAAATACAAAATAATATGAACATGTTGCATCTAATTTTACCATTTTTTTGGTTCTGTAGATATTATGGGTTTTGTTGTCAATAGTGAGCCTCTGGTCACAGTTACTGATGATTCTTACCCTGAAAGACAAGATAAGAAGACTGCCAGCATCTCTTTCACTATCAAGGATTATAAGTAAGGGGATTATAAGAAGATTGATGATATAGTTTTCTGCTTTTTCCTGATTCAAATTATTATTGTTTGATTAACTAAATTTTGTAATTGCTATGTAGGGGGTTATTGTTGTCGTGTGTTGCATTAGGATCACTTGCACTTGATTTCACTGACAAAATTTTCACTGAAAAACAATTACCATTTGATTGTCTGTTAACCGACTGGTCTGTGAAACATGGAGAAGGTTAGTTTGTGTTATTTCTGAGTAGTGATTATTATTATACTATTTATTTTTATATTTATAGATGTTATAACATATATATTATCATCATAGGTCGGTACTATCTTAGGTCTAGAGGAGGGATTTCTAGGATCGAAATTCATCATCAAATTTCAGAAGCCAAAACTTTCGTTAGAAGGTAACACTACAAGAAATATGTACATTCGTAGCATACGAATAACGCTATGAAAGTACTTTCATAGCGTTTTCATAAACGCTGTATCTGCCGGAGCTATAATAGAGTACACCCCTTAATATAGCGTTTATGGAAAATGTTATTATATTCATATATATAATAGCATTGTTATGATGTTATTATAAATGATACGGTAGCACAAATTAGATGCTGTATTATTAAATTTTGTAGCATTATTTATGTGTTATTGACACCTTTATAGTAGCGTGGTTTTATAGCTACATTCTAGTTTACTATAAGAGAAATTCATTGCTGTTGTTAGTTGAGTCGTAGCATTATATTTTAGCTCCAACATCATATACTGTAGCTATTTTTTCACACTGTATTGT